ATTCTTTCGATGTGAATCGTAAGCTGGTGATCGCGGCTCGTGGCATTGGAAAGGGTCGTCGCGCAATGCTTAAATTTAGTAGCTATATGGGATTACCGCCTCCTCTATTATATCTGGAACCACATTCAGAGAAAACACTAGGAAAGTTTTAGACGTTGCTAAAAGACTATTAGAACAAGAATTTCAAGATGCCGCCGATGAAATAAGAAAACAAAATTGGCGGAGATAGACGAGAGTGGTGACACCGATAAAAAAAAACAGTGGATATAGCGGTTTCTGTCGACGGGTCAAGCTGGGTGGTCCGAATTCAAATATCAGTGCGTGAACTCTGGGGGTCATTACCCAATGCCGCACGTAATTCAAACACGTGGTTAGTAGAGTTCATTCGAAATGTACGTGAATAATGCGATCGAAGTGCGCTGCCCAGAGTTTATTATATTATATATAACGCACGGTATGGTTTATATTACATATTCACTTCATTTCGAATATAATAATTCCTCATTTGAACATCGATGAATCACAAGTATTTAAAATATTTTCTTGACTTTCCGTAGACACCTGACTGCTATCCTTTTTAATGATTTAAATGCGCCCATGTTTATGTTTGCGTAATTATTACGAATGCAACGCATTATAAATTCAGTAATATTGAAATATTCACAGACCCAATACCCCGGGTCAGTGCCCTAGCAATAGTAAAAGATAAAATGAATTCTGCGTAGTTATCATGAAAGCAATACATTACAAAGTTGAAATATTCAGAGCTGGTACAATATTGTAAACACATTTGCGTAATAATTAGAAAAGCAGTGCACCAAGTAAACGATGTTGATATATTCAAAGTACAGAGTTGCATACAAGTTGCGTAATTACAGTACCGTCCGGTCGGATATAAGTTTACTAGATCGACGCGCGGAGCATGAAAGAAAAAGGTTGCTAAGGTAACGCGCCAGTTCAGTGCGTGATTTGGGGTCAAACCTCGGTCAACACACACTTGATGTAAGCATCGCCGCGCAGCAAGTTTCGCAAAGAAGTACTTGAAGTTCAATTGCACCCCAAAATGATGTCACTGATCACTCAGTTGTCGCATCGTGTGTTGTGTCATGTCATGTCCATGATGCACCCCGTTTCGACTTTGGCTTGCTTTTCCTTTTTAGTACATGTTCTTGTTCACGTAAAATGCGACCTCTCACCAACGTATTAAACACTTTGAATTTATACTTTGAATGACTATATTTGGTCAACGCGAAACATTATTTTTTCTAAACATTTTCTGAGACCATTTTTGTCAGCGCAGGGTTATTTTTTCAGACAAGATGGGCTTCGTGATATCTGCCATAACATCGCCCGGGCGATCTTTTGGTCCACATTTTTCTTAAAAAAATCGAATCCTCCATAAGATACCCCGGTATCGGCCGAATTCGGTAGTGCTGACTTAGAGCTAACTGATTATAACAAATCCGATAACGGTACACGCTCCATAGGCTGAGAGTAATGCAAACATATCGGTACTTGAAGGCATGTAAATCCCGTAAGAAAATATATGCTGTCACGAAGGCCCGCCCTATGTTTAGAGAACCGATCGTACTGTTGACGCTGTTCAACATAACAAAGGGACTTGAATAAATTAATTGCGCGGTACGCCATCTTGCTCAAGTTAGCACCCCTGTTTCGACGAAACTGCTAAGTTTTGTCCCGTTTTAGGAAACAACCAACCAATTTTTCA